AATCACACAGAAAGGCAGCAGGTAAATCATGAAAAATCATTAGAAAATTTGTGTTCAACAGAGAGTCGGGTGAAAATTAGATCATCAACTGAAGATATCGAATTAGAAAAAGGTACAGAAATCATAGATAACGAACTAGAAAAATGTAGGGAAATATTAGCCACTTCGGCAACAAGTTCAAGTGAAACATTGCTCAGTAAGGAAGTCCGGATCGAAGATATTGTTGAAAAAGTTGTAGGAAATGAATTAGTTTCTCAGGAAAAACAAGTGATCCTAAAGCTAGGTCATCTCAATATTAAAAGAACCGACATGGGAAATAGAATTGTCAGATCAGCAATGAATATTGAAAATTTCAGGAAAGAGTCCGAAAAATGTTTGAAGCAGCAGAAGGTAAAAATAAGGCATTCTAGTTCAGGTTTCCGAGTAATCTATTCGACACTTCAGGGACTGATAACATTTATCAGATTCTTAGCTATATGTTCTATAAAAGTATTGAAAACCGATATCAGTTTTCCGAAAGTAAAAAATACATGTTTTTTTGAATCAGTTGAATTGAACATACTTCATTGCCCTAGAATTGGAAAATTTGTCAACCAGCTTGACAGTTTCTTGAGAGTTCTGCATTCTAGGAAGAAACACGGGTATTTTATTCCATTTCGCGAATTTTTATTATAGCAATACATATGTAATTATTGATATGCTCATGCACAATATACTAATATTTTCTTTATTTTAATATAGGTAGGTTATTATTTCCGACTGGTTGCAAAATTCGAAGGAAGCTTTGGAAGCCTTGGAGGAGAGTGAATAAATGGATAGGATGAAGAGAAGATGAAATTCCTCAAGGCAAGTATAATATCTCTTCATTATTGTTCTGTGAATTTGATTTGAGCATATCACCATATAATTTGAGTTGTTTGGTAGTATTTTGGTAATAATTGAGAAATGTGTAGTGAATAGTGTGACAGAGGATAAGCCCCTGTATAGTATTGCGTTAAAGAAAACGCCAAGTTGCAAATAGTTGACAATTCATATTATTACGGTGGAAATAAATGAAATATTATTATGTCACATAATCGTGAAATTAGAGTATTATGATATGACTCATGTTGTTTATTGTATTAAACAGCGGACATGAAAATGATGGTCTATAGTTGACCTAGGTCGAAATACGATGTACCAGACAAAAAATATGGTGATATATGCATACGGCTCGAATAATAATGAAGAGATGAAGAAATTATGTTTGAGTTCTGCTGAGTTGATATCGTTAAATGCCCAAAGCATATATTTTCAAATCAGTCGGAAATTGAGTAGAATAATATTTATCAAATTCAAGAAGCATTTATTTTTTGAAGGAGTCAATGCAAAGTTCAGAATGAATTTCACTACAGGCTTCGTTACGAGGGGTTATTCTTCTTACTTTGGGTTTGGAATTTCAAATTTTGGGGTATTATTCAATCTAATCAAGTGTAGAAAAAATAAAATAATAATTTTTTCTCAATTGTCATATTTGGCACTGTAATGAACTTTTTTAGCCTTTTAACTGACATATGGTTTATCTATCTATGTGTATGATATTGAAATTATTATTGTTACATGGCACAAGAAAGGAAAGAAAAGTTTTAGACATTCGAGATGGGTAGTTTTTTATATAAGTTTTAAGTAGAAAACATCAGAGTGATAATTGTTGATTTAGTGTTAGAAATTTGGCAAATATTTGCAGAGTTGTTTTTTGTTTCATGTCCTATTCGAAACACCAACCAGGCAAAGAAGTTACCGTCAGTTCCACAATCGATGTAAGATCCAACGTCAGAATCAAGATGAGTTGAAAAGGACCAAAATATATCACTGGGGTACAAAATGGTGAAATGTTCATGGATAATTGACAGGCAATATATTGATGAACCTCCTGATATGTACAGTCGAGCGATGGCGATAAACTATGTACCAGAATATGGATGGAGAACTATGCTGGATGAACTGAGTAGTTCAGCTGTTCCATTCATTTACAAGTAGTTCTAGTAGTAGTATATGAATTGAAGATATCGTCAGGCCGAGCGAATTTTAGATATAAAATGGATGAATTTGCAATCCGAGATGAAGGAAGAAAGGGATGGAATAATATGGATCAGCAAGAAGCAGCTGGACGTATTTATGGATCAGCAAGGAGCAGCTGGACGAATTTCCATTTCCGTTTACTAGGATTTCAGCGATGCAGGATGCAGTGCATGAATATGTCAAATGAACGAGTATACTGGTGAGGAGGCAGTGTCATGAACACTGAAGTACCGCAGATGAAAATTGAAAATGGTTCGAATTCGAATAGACCCATTGGCTTTTGGAGTGAGACGATAGGGATGCTTATGCGACTTGGAGGAATGGAATACTGACGGAAGAAGACGAGAAGAGGGTGTGCTGGACCAGATAGGAAACATTGTATATTTGAAGTAACTATATTTTATTAGCAGTGATTAGAGTTTCAAACTACCTATCCGAATTAGAAGTAAAAATGGGGGCCATTTTTCATGGACGGAGGGCATATGTCACACAGTATATATTTTCTAAATTACCTTTTGATCAAATTGATTTGTTTTATAAATAATAATTCTCAATTGAATTTTGGGTCAGTATACAACAACAATAACTAGGCCATGGCTAGTGATGTTGGATAATGCTGAGTCAGATGAAACAGATGTGAAATGAGGAAAGTTTCTTGGTGGAAAGAAAGTAGGGCAAGGGGGATTCGATGACAGTTTTTAGTAGAGTACGGTTGGGAAGTTAGTCGTGGTTCTGAGAAGTGAAGATGGCCCCTAGTTCAGGAAACTAGGTTTAGTTACTATTAGGGTAAGTCTATCTGAGATTATTATATTAGGATATTATTTATAATAAAACTATTGGTGTAAAAGTGAGTTTCCCTTAATCAACGTAGCCAGAAGGGCAGCGAAGAGCCCATTCCCGACAATATAGATTATCGAATGACACCTATACCACTTTTTGATGAATCTTTTCTCTCTCCTCTCACTCTTAGTGTAATCAATCATCAATCATCGGTTCAAGGCCACCCCCACCTGGCACACCGACCGCACATTCACCTTTTTCGACAAGGCCCAGCTGGACTGTGAAGTCTTCATCTTGATCTTCCATCCGATGCCGAGGAAGAAGAAGGAAGAAGAAATAGCGAACGATGCATCGAGATCGCATTCTCATCGTCTCCGATTGCTGTCGGTGCGAACTGGCAACGTTGCCGGATCCTCCTTCATTTTTTTCTTGTCTCTTGTCTTTCGGGGAGTTTTGTTTTATCAATGATTAATTCGTTGTTTCATCGGATTTTTGTTTTTCAAAAATAGTTTGTTTCAACAGTTTTTGAAATTCCTTCATCCCTACTTATATTAAATGTGAATGCGAGTTTGTTTATCGGGCTTTCAAGCCAAAAATACTCAACCGATAATCATGATTATTATTGTATACATAATCTTAGATGTAATTGAAAGGACATAGGATTATTCCAGATTTTTGGGATTCTCTGTCCTCGTCTCTATGAAATATAAATATGAATATTAATTCGATATACGAGTAGCAAGGGCAAATCAGATTATTTGCCCCAAGATATCACTGCGTTTGAAGAATTTTCCCATCAGAGAGCCTAAAAGAAAATTCACAAGCTTGTCAGTGACAATTTGAATTGAAAGAGGTTTGGAGAAGAGAAATAAAGGTATATGGAAAAAGTATCAAATTTTTACTTATCTTTGGACGTTTCGGGAACGAATCTGCTCCCGTTTTCAACTTAAAAAATAGATTTTTTGTATTGCAAATTCGTATTTGTCCTGTGTTTGTGGAAAGTTTCATACCTAGAGACCTCTTTCAGTAAGAACGAAGGAACATAAACACAATATAAAGAAAAGACACATCGACATATAATTTCTAGAAGTAAAAAAAACTACCTACCTCACTTCTCCCTATCCTCAATAGATACACACGATGTTCTTTGAACAGTAGAGGGATTTTCTTTCGTGGGCCCCATGAGGAAAATGAAAAAATAATGATAAACAATCAATACCAACTCGAAGATCGATCAAAAACCGATAATCCCCAGACCCCCGACTTCTACCACCACCTGGCACCACCGCCTACACTGCGCGCCCATCCTCGTCAGACCTTCCTCTGCCAACTATCCACACTCCACATCCACTAAACATCAGTGTTGCCGCTCTGAAAACTGTCAATATCCGAAATTTCTTGAAAATATTTCCCGCCATTTCTCGCCACATTCAAAATTATAAAATAATATCTCAAGTTTAGGAACTTTTTCGGACAATGAAGTTCTAATGAAACTACAGATAAATCTACCAGAGATAAAAAAATGTGATTTTTCTTAAACTAAAAAATAGTTACATGAGCAATATGTAACAAAAATATTTAAGTCAGTATAATCACCTTATCAATTTTTATCGGATTCTCAACAAGTTTTCCATATATTATCATCATCAATCAAAAGCGAATCATCATAAACAAACAAAAGCATTCCATCTGTCATCTGTAATTGCCTGATTTCAACTTATAGCAAATTGTTAAAGTGACAGGTGTCATGAAATATTCAAATCAGGGAAAGATGAGTAATGTTCAGAGAACATCGTGAGAACCAAGGAAAATAAGGTAGGAATTGATCTTCTTAAATTTCTGGAGGTTATATGCCTCGGGGAACACCTCCCTTGGCAATGTGTTCCAGGGCCTTGCTGTTCGTGGGATGAACGAGTCTTTGGAAGGAGATGTTCTGCAGGTCTCCAAAGTGACCACGAATGGATGCGAAGCCTCAACTCGACGGGTTGATCTCGCGGGGGCTGCCAAGGGAGGAACAATTGTTGGTATTTCTGAAGCTAAATCAGCCCTAAATTAGCCTAAAATTATAACGGAAAAAAAAATTCAAAAACTCAAAGTGGTTCTGCTAGCTTAATGGAGGTGTTACTTTCGCAAAATGTCTTATTCCGCAAAAACCCCGCATGCGCTCAAATTTCCCGCAATCCAGGAAATTTCCCGCCATGTGGCAACACCGCACATACCCTCTAAGCCCGACTCAACGGCCCGCCACGGCCGACCTGCAGACCGCGTCCGCATGCCGCATCCACAGCATGTCATCGACCGCGTCCGGCAACATCGTCGCCGAATGGCTGCGTTCGCTGCGCCTCGGCAGATACGCGACCGGCTTTCTCGACAACGGCTACGACGACCTCGAGATCTGCAAGCAGATCGGCGAGCCGGACCTGGACGCCATCGGCGTTCTGGAGGCCGGTCACCGCTCGAGACTGCTGAGGTCGGTGAGGTCTCTGAGGGAGGAGGGCGCCGCTTCGGTGTATTTCACGCTGGAGGAGAGCGGCGAGGAGTGTTTGGTGAGTGAGGATTCGGTGAGTGCGACGTCCTCCTCGGACAAGGAGGTGCGAGTGAACGTCTCGATTGAGAAGGAGGAGGAGGAGGAGGTCGAAGTGGGGTGTTTGGACGAGTATGAGGAGGGCAAGGCGGAGCTGGTGAGGATCCCAAGGTTGAGGCTCAAAGGATTGCTGAGGGAGAGGCTGGATCAGGATGGGGTGGCGTTGAGCTGTCAACCGTATTCGACGCAGGTCAGTTTTGTGTTGATATATGGTCGAACAGGTGGTATCTTTGCTGATAAACATTGTTTTCCTTGCTGATGAACAGTGTTTACCTCACTGATCAAATGATCAAGGTGTTGGTGAAGCTTCGAAAGACGAAATTGTGCGCTAATTGGTCCTCTTCTTCCTTTCATTCATGAACCACACACTACTTTTTCGAGAATAATAATTAATCTACATGTTGGTAGAGCTTGAGCAGATGAAGTTGGACTATCAAGAGGTAGCATATTGCCTTCAAGGAATTTTCTGTCCATGAACTCCAGAGGTCAGGAAAGTCATTATCGAACAAGCTTTGTTGTTGAAACATCAAAAGATTAAGACAGGTGCTGAATCATATCCAGAGAGGCAGTACGGTCATAGAACCATTATTGTCGATGGACTTCACATAAAAGAGAAGAAGCTTCAAGGTACACTTGATGCTTTGAAAGACGAAATTTTGCGCTAATTGGTCCTCTTGGTTTTGAGAGTTCCTTTTCATCCATGAACTTTATACACACTACTTTCTTGATAATAATAAGCACACTACATGTTGGTAGAGCTTGAGCAGACGAAGTTAAGAGCTCTAGTTGGTCTTTGAAGAGGAAGCATATTGCGATGCATATTGCTTACAAGGATTCTTTGTCTATGAACTCCACAGATCAGGAGAATCATAATCGAACAAGCTTTGTTGTTGAAACATCGGAAGATTAAAACAGGAGCTGAATTATAATGAAAGAGGCAGTATGGTCGTAGGTCCATTATTGTCGATGGACTCCACATAAAAGAGGTGAAGCTTCAAGGTACACTTGATGCTTACTATAATAAATGAGCTTCATGCTGTTGAAAATATTGGTGTAGCTTCAAAGGATGTAGTTTATCGGTATTTGGTCTTAGAAATGGTGGACTATTTTTGATCATGAACTCATCCTATAGAAGTCAAAATACTCTTGCACAGACAACTCATTGTTCGGGTCGAACTTGAGTACCTATTTCCGAATGGCAAATCTTCTTCATTAGTGATATCAAGCGTACTTCTACTTACTACCTACTAAGTGGCTGAATTCAATTTCTGAATCTTCTTTATAGTTTATTAGCAATCATATCCCTACTGTACAGCAATTATGTTTCTGTAAAAGTTGTATTCATTAATTTACACTCATAGTGTTTCGTGATTGCTGGTTTCTTGGAATACTCCGAGAATTTAATAGCTTTTCTCTAACTGCTCGAGGATGCAGAGATCTGTGAGGTCGGTGTCTTGTTTTGCTTGCTGATTTACAAGCTTCATGTTGTTCAAGGTTTTGGTGAAGCTTCGAAAGACGGTGCTATTCGGTGGTCTTCTTGCTATTCAAAGTCCCTTTTTATCCATCAACTCCACACAGAGCTTCAACAGATGACGTCTCGGATGAAGTAAGTGCTATGGTGGGACTTTGAAGAAGAAGCATATTGTTTTCAAGGGTTTCTTTTCCATGACCTAGACATACAAGAGGTCAAAATATTTATCTAACACTTACAAATCATCAAACGAGCCTCGTGCATGTCGGTGATACATCAAAAGATTAGGATGAGAGCTGAATGGCTGAATGCTCGGCTGAATGGTAGTACTTATCGTTAGAGAAGCTTTTTTGTCCACGGTAGTCACCTCGGTAGTCACATACAAAGGGAGAAGCTTCAGGGTATACTTGCTTGGTATGTATAATAAATGTACCTCATGCTGGTAAAAGCATTGGTAAAACTTCAAAAGATGGATGTAATCGCTATTTGGTCTCTGAAGTGGTGAACTCTATTTCTGATCATGAACTCCACATACTAGAGAGCTAGATGCTCTCCTAAATCCTTTCATAGCAGTATACATGGAACTAAACGAGGAACTAAATATTCAACAGAGAAAATGATACATCGCGAAGACATCTCATTCTTTGGGTGATGGAACTTGAATACCCAGCGAGATACCCAGTTAAATACCTACCGATTATGAGACTTCCGATCCTTCTTCATCAGAGATATAAAGCGTTCTACAAACTGCCTTTTAAGAGAAGAGGCCGAATGTCATTTTCGATTCTTCCGAGGATTCTTCTATATAGTTTGTTGCTATCAGGTCTCTCCTTGAGTCCCTCTATTCGTTTTGGCAAATCAAATAGTGTTAGCTTAATGACATCAAGCATCGAGTTAAGCATCGAGTTAAGCATGGTACGATTTTCATGAACGATGTAGAATATTGCCTCCATGGATATAGTTTTCATGTATGTATAGTGATTCGTAGTTTCTAGATAGTATTCTTAGAAGTGGACTCTACTCGAGTGGAATCTTCACAGAACTTCTGGCAAGATGGAAGATGCTGAAGAGGTATCCTCCTCACAAAATGGGATAGCGTTGAGCTGATGATATCTGAACAGACTTTCACTGGGTCCTTTCAATCCATTGATTCCTTAAGAGAATATGAGTTTCTTCTAAGAAGCTTCATGTTGTTGAGAATCTAGTTGAAGCCTCAATATGGAAGATGCTAGAAGCACATTAACGTTCATGAAACTGAATGAAGTGAATTGTTACATAGCAGTTCAATGTTGGGGAATGCTTCAGCACTTATCATAGATAAGACATCAGACAGACAGACTCCTCGACAGACTCAATGACTCACATGATGTATTCTTCTACTAACCGTCCTTGTGAAGGTTAGGTCGAGTGTAGGTTATAACGTTATAACTCAATAAACTTTTTTTCCTTGATGCTACTCGATAGTTCCCCACTGTCCTTTCTCATCAATTGTCATGCTTGAATAGGCCTCGTTTTATGTTTACTATTTGCTAAATATTTATGAAAATATTTTTTATACAGGACGCCACAACGTCCCAATAGGTTTCTTCATGTCCCTGAACTCAATTTGTTCAAACCAAATATTCAGGCTGTCCAAATTACTTTCTCAGTGTCAGTACATGAACATGATTTCATTGCCTTATTTGTATTGAGCGAGATATTGAATTAAGATGAAAATACAGTTAGGGCTATTGAAACAGCTTCGAAGAATGGATTAGGCGAGTCATCGTTATCTTGATGAACCGAAGAACATAGTTTTTTGAGCATGACTCGACTTGTTTCAGGAGAACTGAAACGAAATTGGATACCTCTACATTACATACATAGTCTTGCATATACCTACATATCTGAAAGAAAATACTTTCTGGTATTACTTGCATCACTAGTACAGGAGCTGAATTGGCAAACTCGTGATTAACCTGACCTGTTTATCTTTGTAAATAATATCCCTCGTATTACAAATAGAGAAGCGATCCAATTGAATAGTCGTGAAGAGAATAATAAATAATGGCTATTGTATATTGAAGTGATTCAACCAGGTGATTAATAGATAGTCATCTTTATATACGAACAAAGAATAATGAAGAATGTACTATTATTTTTCGAGATGCATCTGATAATTTGCTGAAAATAATCGAATCATGTCGATACTGAGACACAAGCAGTTATGCGATTTTTCTTGAAGCGGACCAAACAGATTGCAAGACCTGATGTAGGTAGCGACTATTATCTTTCGAGTATAAACATGAAATCGTAGCCTTCTACTTGGTTTTCTTCTTTGTGTCACGTGATACGATCCGTAACCCGTTGATAAAAGCCGGTTGATCAAGGCCAGTGAAGCAAGTGTCATTATCTCTTGGAATTGCATCGATTTTTTTTTTATCGCTTGGAGCGCACGAAAGAGAATCCCTATAATGTTCAAAGAACATCGTGCGATTGAATTCAACTAGCTTGTTAAAAAAGACACATGGTATTTTTAGTGAAAACCTTATCAATTATTATTAATTGATTCATTCAAAAGGGAACATGAAAAATGTTCATCAGATATAATTCAATGTTCGACGTGGCAAATAGCCAGGAAAGTAGTTGTTTTCTGTTGAATATTCAGAATGATGTGTGTATATACATATTTTTGTCTGAAGGAGAATGCAAATTCTCAATTTCAGAAAATTTTTATATTTTATTTTCAAACTCTTTTCGTGTGTGTTCAATAGATATAATTCAATGTTCGTCGTGGCATATAGCCAGGAAAGTAGTTGTTTTCTATTGAATTAACTGGAAAAGAGTAAATATTCTCATCACATAGAGAATGCGAATTCTCAATGTATTGCTTTATATCAATATATATCCTTTTTTGTATGTTCATAATTTATCTGAGAATATTCCTTTTCAACACTTTCATACCCAATCAGGGGGTTCAAACTTGAACGATGGAAACTTGTGATTTTTATAGACCTCTAATCGCAGATTCGTGATAGAGTCTCAATTTCAGAATTCATTTCCACGCCCTGTATGATGAATGTCAATTTATCATACACCCAAAAGCAAAAACGTCCAAATGACAGGAATAGAATGTCAACAAATTTCTCAGATGTCATTTCGTTATAGTTTTACTCGATTTTAGTTGTATTATATAGAGATGAAAATTGTGTATATCATGAAGAATGGCTGTAAGAATAAGTGGACATCATGGTTACTGATGAGGATTCAGAGATCCGAAATGGGTTCATTGCAATAAAGTCATATAACCTGTGTGTGAGAGATAATATTTCCCATATCACTGATATGAATGATTATTTTTGGACGTTTTCAAGCTCATCAAGATCAGAGTTCATGCCAGTATACTTCTCCTATACATTCCAATTTTCATTTCAATGCTGAATATATTGGTAAGTCATATTTCTAGATCATTATTCATCATATTATTCATCCGATTTGAAGAAGAATGTCAATTCTCAATTTCGGAGGATTTTATTCTTTATTTTTCATGTTCTCCTTTTGAATGTTCATCAGATATAATCTCGGATATAATTCAATGTTCGACGTGGCAAATAGCCAGGAAAGTAGTTGTTTTCTGTTGAATATTCAGAATGATGTGTGTATATACATATTTCTGTCTGAAGGAGAATGCAAATTCTCAATTTCAGAAAATTTTTATATTTTATTTTCAAACTCTTTTCGTGTGTGTTCAATAGATATAATTCAATGTTCGTCGTGGCATATAGCCAGGAAAGTAGTTGTTTTCTATTGAATTAACTGAAAAAGAGTAAATATTCTCATCACATAGAGAATGCGAATTCTCAATGTATTGCTTTATATCAATATATATCCTTTTTTGTATGTTCATAATTTATCTGAGAATATTCCTTTTCAACACTTTCATACCCAATCAGGGGGTTCAAACTTGAACGATGGAAACTTGTGATTTTTATAGACCTCTAATCGCAGATTCGTGATAGAGTCTCAATTTCAGAATTCATTTCCACGCCCTGTATGTTGAATGTCAATTTATCATACACCCAAAAGCAAAATGTTTATAATTGAATCAACATCGACATTATTTTGGATCGACATATAATTTGTTTTGAGAAAACCATATTTTGTTGATGAAATTGATATTATACTGTTGACATTTTCGAAAGTTTTTATGCCTACTTAATTTTTTCGGAGTCACTTTTGAAATTACATCTCGGTGGCCATGATCGGAAGTAAACTAATCTAAGGACCTCAGGTGATATCAGAAAATTACAATCGCGAAGTTTTAGTGACAAGTATGTTAGATATGAATAATACAAGTTGGCAAAATTACATTTTCGTGTCTAACTATTATTTTTCAAATGGCAAGCACTTTCCGAAAAAAGAATATTTTGACGAATCTAACGATACTAATTTATTTGCGATAGGATCAAAATGTCACATTCTGATCTAGAATTGTCTCATAAATCCAAAAATGTTACAATATACAGGGTGTTCCATTTAAAAATTTAGAACTGGAGCCATTTCCGGTGAAACCGGAAGTGCCCGGAAAGTGAAAAATATGTGAAAACTCTCCTCTTCACATACCATTTACCCGCATTTACCTATACCAAATCTCATTTTGATACACCTAATGGTCTAGAAGTTATGACTTGTCTAATAGATTCGTTGACATCCGGTATATCCATTTTTTCATGTTCATAGTTATATCTGAGAATATTCCTTCTCAATATAGTAAATGGAATAAAAAAGTTTTCATTTAAAGTGAGACATTGTCTCTATAATGCTATAGTCATTCGATGACAACAATATACTATTCATTCTTAGGGTGAATGAGTAAAAACCTTAGCTAGCATTTTTTGCGTGCCTTTTCTGAGACTAGCAAGAAAAATTCTCCCGACATGATGTGTAACCATCTGGACCTAATGTTCTGTCTAAGGAAATTCATCCCTCTGACCCCAACTCTTATCCCCCGCTGTTATCTCTATATTGTATACGTGTTCTGATAAATATTCCGGCGATATTTCCTCAAATGTTTTCATGTCCCGAAAACATAAAAGGAAATGGAATCGATGAGAAATTCATTGAAATATAACGGAACCTTGTG